AAATGCGACTGTTTCGGATTTAGATGATACTTCTACTTTAACTGTAAAGTTGAAACTATTATTATAATAGTCCTTGCATTTGAGAGAGAGCCTCCCACGTTGTCGAGACTTCTCAAAGTGCTTCGCAGCATATACTGTGAAGTGGATTGACTGTGTATTTTGTGAGAGAAACGCGGGAGCTAATTGCGCACAGCAGTGTCCTTCAAACAGCCTTGGAGCGCGTCACCAATTTTATTTGGGGATTGTTGGCGAGGCCAACAGGAGAAACTCCTTTCTTTTTTCGAATAGTGCCATGGGATCTTTAAAGTCCACCTGAACAGGCAGAAGGGACCTTGGTTTAATGTCTCATCCAAAGGACGGCACCTCTGTCAATGCGAGTGGCACCTTTTAGCGCTCCGAGACGCCATCCGGCGTGGAGGGCGCTATATAAATCCAACTTGTTGTTGTTGATATAAGATTCCAAGTCCCAATGTGGGGTTTGAACCCACAACCTTCTGACTCAAAAGCGATAGTGCTACCACTGCTCCAGGCTGACAATACCATTGCGCTTTGAGAAATCTAGAAGACGTGATAAGGCACTTTGTCAAATGCAAGAATTATTATCATAAGGTAATATATGCGCTAGTTTTTTTTTAAAAAATTTTTCTCAACTCATTATGTTAATCAAAGGATACTACTGCAAATATTACTCCGATAAGTGAATGCCCATCAAATTTTTTAGCGATGAGTTTTTGAGGTGCATGGAATTATAATTATTGTATTACAAACATTATTATGGTGGATTTTAGAGTTTTCATCATGTATTCCTTGTGGTCACAGTGATACGAGTCATTGAGGTCAAATTCACGATACTTTTTTTGGAAATCTTTAATATGTCTTTATTCTTCCCCTTTGGCTTCTGTTTAACCCTGGAAGCCAAAGCCATACTGGTAGGTAGTGGTAGATAGACAAGCAATGGGAAGCTTCCCAGAAAGTCCTCTCAATGGCAAACTATATGTATTAACTAAGCCCCAGCTGTACTCCAACACACATTCTGGGATCCCCAAGCCTTAACTATCGCCAACTTGCTCCAAATACTCTTCAGAATTAAGTAAACGGTAAATATAAAGAGGGACTCCTTCCAGTAACTGGATTTACATCACACTGACGTGCATGAACTCTGCTCTGAATCCCTAACCTCCTGAATCCGACCCACAGCCCGGGAGCGAACCTTCGACTGTCCAATTTGTAGTTGTTATTGTTGTTGTTGACACAATCTGCTTAATAGCTTGACAGTAGTTAATATAATAATAATCCTTGCATTTGATATAGCGCTTTTTCACGTCTTTTCTAATGGGATTCCTTAGTAAAGATGAATGGTCACACTGAAACTTTTATCTTTAGCTTTCAGATGCTGATCCACCTGCTGTTGATTTTTTTGTAGTTGTCCGAGTATCTGACATGTGGAAATCCATCACCATGCTTGAGTATCCAAATCAGACTGAGTATTCCACATATGTATACCAACAATGCATAGAAATTTCCCCATGTCTGGGACGTAATGAGCACTCTCTCCTTGGAGGGATCTACCATTTACTTAATTCTGAAGAGTATTTGGAGCAAGTTGGCGATAGTTAAGGCTTGGGGATCCCAGAATGTGTGTTGGAGTACAGCTGGGGTTTAGTTAATACATATAGTTTGCCATTGAGAGGACTTTCTGGGAAGCTTCCCATTGTTGTCTATCTACCACTACCTACCAGTATGGCTTTGGCTTCCAGGGTTAAACAGGAGCCAAGGGGGAAGAATTCCCAGTCACCAGTCCACCACTCTACGTCCTGCCAATGAACCAGACTGGCTGCAGGATCATTCAGGACACTGTTAATGTTGTGGACCCATTTGGCTCAGAAACCGGATTTTGACATTCGGTTGCCAAGCATGTCCAAGAGAGATACTCTGCTTATCTCCCTTCCCTGCCACCCTCCACCCCCCACCCCCCTGCCCCCCCCAAGTCCAGGGGATATTCACCAGTTGGCCATTTGACATCTGCTTGCTGTTGATTTCAAAAAGTATTCTTATATTTCTTTCTCTTATCAGCACCACGTACCACAGGCTCCATTGTCACAGCAGCAGAGAAACCACCTAATCATGTTCATCCCTTTACTTTATTTCTTAGAATTTTACAGCTTTTAGTCAGAAAATTCGGTTAAGGCGGTGTCTCAGCCTGAGGTACAGGAGTATAATTTCAACATATCTCAAGAAATTCCTGAAGAGTGACTCAGAGTTTCAAATGGGACTCCTTCTGGTAAATGGAAGTCGATCACGGCCATAAGAATTATGGGAACTCTGTTTTGCAATGACCTACTTCTAAACTACTTTAGAAATGATGTGTTTATGATGAATGCTTGGAGCCCTCTTTTTCCTCTTACAAGAAACTTTTCACAATGTAAGCCAACCTAGCGATTGAGTGCCAGCAATTTATAAACCATTTAGGCAGGAGGGGAGGGACAACTTGATTTCGTCA